GTGGCTGTTGTCGGCCGTTTTTTAGTTCGCCGGTAGCTGAATCTTGTCTCTGTCACTTGTATTTCTAATAGATTCCTGTCAGTTGTCAAAATGCTTGTCACTTCTGATTTTAGTGGTTTTCTATTTGTCTGGAAAATTTCTATTGCTCTTTCTTAAAGAATGGTGCTGGAAGCGGTGGTAGAAGTCTCGGCAGTTCAGTTGGTGTGTGTGTTGGTTCTTGTTTCTTGATAATGGGGAAGCAGTTTCTGTGCAGATTATCTTTTTTTCTTCACATTGCCTATGGTTTTTCCTGACTAAATCGTTGTTAATTGTAAAATTAGTAATTATACTCAAAGTATCAGAGTAGAACAGAGTAGTCACTTTTTGTTGCTGACATTCGACTAATGGACCTCACAGCTTTGCTTTGAATTCTTTTAAAATGTAGTTGCTGATGTATTATATAATTAAGTAAACCACGTGGTCGTTTTGATAATAAAGAAAAACTTTAACCTGCGAAGGATAATGTTGAAATACAACGCAATTTGTATGATGAAGAGTACTGTTGAAGACAATTTAGAATTAGAGGCAGGAACAAAAATTATTTTTGGGGGTACTTCGACGTTCTGATGCGTCTGCAAAGTTAGTGTAAATTTTTGGCAACAATGCGTGTCATGTAAAGTATTTGCATCATTAACTGAGGAACTGAGTTTGTCTTTGCACTTTGTTGGAATATGCATCTTGTTAAGATCAGTTTCGCAACAGTTTTAAATATTTAAACTTGTAGTTAGCCGGTATTTATTACAATTTGCAAGGTAACGGAAAGGAAAGAAGGAGTGTAAGGTAGGTTTTACTTTTTTGTTTTTGACTTTTTTGAAGCTAGCATTGACTTGAAAGCATAGCTGCACGATGTTTCCAGTTCTTGATGTTAATAAGATCCCGTGGATGATTGGTGGCGATGAGAATTTGGAAGTTTTCGACAATTAATGTCGCAATATTCCAATGATTTGACGAAATATTCTGTTTTTACTGTTTTGTCACGTTAGTTTTGAAACTTTTTGTGCATCAGTTGCTGTCTGGAAGAATCAAAGTTCTTTGGCTTATTAGGGTACTCCTCCGTTCTTCTGTTCAGCTGAGTCAAGGCGGCTTGTCTTTTCCTGAATTCTTTTTGTTTTATTGGGATTTTTGGAGATTAGCATGTTGAACGTTTTTTAATCCGGCTGCCTGTATAGGAGGGTTCTAATCGGCCAATTATTCTGTGTTAGCTGTGTATATTAGCAAATATATACACCGTTTGTTGACAAAATAGATTTGACTTTTTCTTTTACATTCTCACTAAAGTAGTGGCAAAATTTGAAATATTAATAAGTTTGTGGAGTTTAGACTTGACAATATAAATAGTTCGGCAGAGTATATAGTGGGGATACGTTGCTGACAACCATAATCCAACCTCCGACGTTGGGATGAAAGTGTTAGATAATGGTTGTTAAGGTGCCGTTTTCTGGTATCTATTCTCTTCTTGTTTTCCTTTTTTGTCTCTAACATTTTTTAGATTGTTAATCAGTCGATTGAGAATAAATGTTTCGGACTATAATCTTAATGCAACTGGCTGTATACTGTTCACTTTGGTCACTTATTTATCGCTTTTAATTAGGCGTATGTAGTTAGTTTGAAAGTACAGTTCATTAACACCTTTCTTTAGTTGTTGTTCAGTACGCGGATATTGGACTTTATTCATTTCAATTTTTGATGCGCTGCGGTTCAATTTTTTATTAGTGGCAGTCCTTATTTTTCAATTTTTCTATATCTAGATCCATTTTTTAAATTTTTTTAAAGATGATCCTAAAGAATTAGGGGATGGGGAGGAATATCAAAATTTATGTTGCTAATTGAAGCTGTCGCTGTTAGCTGTGATGGAGACAGTGGTGTTGGTTGTCACCGTTGTTCAGTGGTTATGAGCTCAAGCGAACTAAGGGAAGATCTTTCAAACTGACAATATTTCGATAACCAATATTCAAAATTTATAAGAAATTACAGGCCACATACTAGGCTTTTTGTATACTGAATATGTAAAGTGTTCGTTGCAGTTAGAAACAGTGACGTCATGGTGCTGTGTTAATCTTAACTGCTTCTATTCGCTTTGCTTCTTGCCTTATCGATGGTTTGAAACTACATGTTTGCGATATTCCATTTTGCCCGTATCTTCACCCCAACATTTTGCTGACTACAAATTATTTTAAAAAGGCAGTATTTTATTTTTCTTTTAAAACTTTATGATTTGTGCGAACAAGCTCAAAGCTTTTCTTTCATAATCGGGATCAAAACCTGCGTTTTATTTTGCGTGGTAGCTGTGAAGAAGATTTTCGTTTTTTTTCTATTTTTGCTCGGTTAATTATATTTTTTAGTTGCTGCATAAATTTACTTTTTATTAACGAGATTCATTGAAGAATTTTTTATTTATTTTTTGGTTTGTTAAAAGTGACTGTGCTTACTTTTTGTGGTAGGCCTCTGCTGCTTTTGGCGGTGCAAAAGTGTTTCACTGGTCCATTGTGTTTCTCAGTAGTAAAGACTGCGCTAGTGGTGACCGGTTAAGTGAAGTCTTGGTGAATAATTTTTCTTCGGTATTATGCTCTACTCATGTTTTAAAAAGATAGATAAACAGATAGCGAGAAAATGTTCTTTTGGGTTAGAAATTAATACTTGCCCGTATTGTCGGTGTTGTACTCGTTGAATATGTATTAATGAACAGTAATTCTTTTACATTTCTTACTGTCCAGTGGGCAAATCAGATCAACCTCTATCGCTTATCGAATGAACGCATCTTATGGATACTTTTTGCTTTTTCTTCAATTCGTTTCTTTTTTTAAATCTTTTGCTTATTACTGTTTTGGCTGTACTTCTGCTCAATGGATTTCTGATACATCTATGAGGTGTTTGATTGACTTCACCAATGATTGAGGATAAATCTTTTGAATATAGTAAGCAACAGCTGGGAGACCATGAGACTGTGCTATTAAACTACTTTGTCAACTGCGGCGAATCGTGACGCGTCTGCCGGATAGCCAGTTGTATATCGTTAGACAGCATTTGTGCCGTCAGTCATTTTTTTTTTCAATTTGTTAGGGTTTATCCGGATAAAAACGAGTTGTGGCAAAATTTGGAATTGTTTTGTTAGCCGTTCTTACGGCTCGTTTTATCAGCATGTTTTATTCTTCAATTTAGCTCATTTTTTTTTTTTTGAGTAGTCTTTCTAAAATATACCAAAAGCTTCACTAACGGTGGTATTGATTTACTTTCCTCTCTCGTACACGCTTACCTTATTTTTTCGAGGAACAGGACAGGAAGATGTCGGGACATCAAACGATTTTTCTGTTATTAATAAGTCTTTACTAAGATTTTCTCTGTATTTCAGCCGCTTAGTTTCTGCATAAATGACAGCCCTTCATCTTTTATTTATGAATACGTGGAATGATAATTGTGCAAAGACAGCCTGGAAAAATGGTTGTAGGTAGCGCTGTAATTCTTTACTTATTAAGGTATCTTTGGTGGACTCGTAGATTAGAGTGATGAACATAAAAAAAAACATGGTAGCCTGATTCTAAACTGTTGTTTTAAAATTATGAAGCTATAAACTATTTATGATTCATTGAGCCTGTTGATTATTTTATTGATAGCTCTTATATAGTTCTCAGTTCTTCAAGAAAAATATTTTTTCTGATAGTATTTCTTTTTGAGGCAGTATTGCTAAAGACTAATTGCTTATAAAGGTTAGAACTTAATAACGAAGTTTTAGGTTTTAAATACCATGAAGTTTTTGTGGTTTGAATTTTGAATTGTTTGCTACCAATACGTTGAAGTTCTGCAGTTTTGAAGCAAAAAAAAATTTTTCAGATCATTTGGTTATGACTGGTATCTCATGGACCACTGTTCTATTCAGTCTTTTTGTTATTTATATCGCACATTCACTGTATTCAATCTACGCTCTTTTCCATCCAGCATTATGTGGACAAGGGGCAAAATGTCTTATAGTAGGCGTTTTACGCTGTATGAAGTTGAAAAAAAGAATATTGAATTAGTTATATAGCTTATAGTAATTTTTTCTCTCTTGTGTCATTTTAGTTCATTGACTACCACTATGTTTTTCAATCTTATAGCCAATGATACAACGCGATGCCAAAACTAAGGAATTTCCGCCGATACAGTTGCGGGTTTACGCATCAGTTAACATGGATCCACGCAGGTACGGTCGTGTTATAGATCAGCTGGCATTCTTAGACATTGACGAGGTTTTGGAAAGAGAGGTATGAATACTTTTTTAACTTTGTAGTGTCATAAACTAATGAATTGAGGTTTTTTACTTTAGGGCTACTTTGTAATAATTTTACAGCTTGAATGCTATGGTATAAATTGTAAGTCTTGCTGCGACTTGAAGTGCGTGGTTAAAATATTTTTTAACCGACTGCTCATTGATCAGTCAAACAACACAGAATAAAATATATTCTTGTCCTCGCATTAAAGTCATTTTTAGTATCATCATTTTTTGCCGCCTTTGTTGACATTTCTTTATTTACTTTTTTTTTTTTTATGTGGGCGTTATGGATTTTGATTTTTTTAACTGGTGTTTCAAAAGCAGTGACAGGTAAGGTATGAGGTTTCCGAAGCCTGATTTAATTTTTTTGTAGCCTTCATTTTTATTTTTCGTTCACTATGTTTTTCAAGATAGAGGAATCGTTTTGATTTTTTCTTCAATAAGTTTCTTTGTTGACAGGGTTGCATGCTGAGAAGAAGTTTCTCCTTAACATGTATCATTGTTACGCTGTTTATTGTAAAATTGGGAGAGTTGATTCAATTCATTCGATATTTCAGGTGACTGTCGAACTTCCAAGTCATACAAGAAATAATGGTTCTCTCTATATTCATAGCTTTTTGCTTCCAGCTCAGTATAAGAGCCAGGACCCTTACCAGGTTTGGTGTGCGTTTTTACAACTAAAATGTAACATCCTTGAAGGACTGACAACCTAAACTTTTTAAGTGAGAAGTTTTAATTGTTGGAACAAAAAAATATTCGCTTTAATAACTAACACTAATGGCTAATTTTAACATTCCAGTTTTTGTATCTTTTGCTAATTGTTTTTGTTTACCAAAAGAAAAAAAAAAGAATCTGCTAGTTTCTAAAATAATGTGTATTGTTCAGTTGGGTCATAATGGGTATGGTCAAGCAAGTGAGTCGTTACGTGCTCTATATTTTCTGATAATTTCAGGCGGACTGGAGAATAGTGAAAACTGCAAAGATGACTGCTTACCAGGTTCCTGAAGCTGAGTTTTTTAATTTGATAACGAGTAAAGAGTCTAATTTCGAGGATGAGTCGGCAAGACCGTCTAAGCAGGTGCGAAAATAATCAGCTACCATAGAATTGGGAATACAATTGGCTCCTAAAATGACCATCTTTTTCGACTGTTCACTCGTTTGTTGAATCAGTTGTTGATTTCAGCTACGAGAATCGGGCACTCCAGTAACTCATTTTCGCTCAGTGCTTCCACTGACGATAGTCGGTGAATCTCCATTTTTTGACTTCAAGCAAATTTCACCGGAAGTAATTAACAAAATGGATTTATTTCACAAAGGTCGGCTTCTTTAGCATTGCCTCACGAGTTCCTTATATCCTTGTTGAAATATTTTTTTTGCTTAGATAACTACGAATTTTTTGGTATTATTTTGTCAGATCGCTTTTTTGGTAATTATTTTCTAGCGGCTACCGTTTTGATAATAAAGTATGGCTTAAATTTTAATTGTGAAAGTAGCCTGGTATTCTGAGATTAGTCATATCTTATATTTTGTTATTGGAGAATTGCGAAGTATTTGATTAAAATTATACTGTTTTAGATAATGAAGTTTATTACTGGCCAATCTTCTATATTGATGAGATGAGTTTTCGGTCAAAGGATCTTGTTGAGGTACTAGCATTGTATTTGAAGCCTTCAATGCTATTAATTATCACAGTTTTTCGCATACGATTTTTTATGGCTTTTGCTTGTTCGTTGTCTGTGTTTGTTAATTTTGCGGGGCCTTGTTTCATCTTGGAAGTTATCTTGCAGATAGCTATCTGTCATTGTTGGTCACTTATATGCTTTCCCATATTCTGCATTTTTAGGTGAGACCCGAGGACAAGACTGTGAAATTAAAAATACAGTACAGGCCAATTTCTATTGGAAAATTCCGATTTCTTGTGAATGTTGAGGCGTCTTTAATTCAGTTTAAACAGCTTGGTTTCAAGGACAAAGATATCGATGAGGTTACTCTTTTTTTTACTGGATACTTTTTTGTCGTTTTTTTTAAGTGTGGGATCGCCATTTATCTGAATGTTTACATCTGTTACATATGTTTCTTAAAATTTCTAGTTATTTTGAAGAGCTTCCTGTGAATATTATACTCTTTCAGTTAAAAGGGATTTTTGTGGACACAAACTTTTATTTTCTCGCCCTAACAGTTTTTGTGGCTGCAACACATATTTTACTTGACTGCCTTGCTTTTAAAAATGATATCGCATTTTGGAGAGGAAAGAAAAATATGGTTGGATTGTCGTCAAGGTGTGCTTTCTCACCGCTCTTTGATTGTGCAGCAACAGCTACACTTTTCTTTCGATATGTTACTAAACAGGATTCTTTATAGGTTGAAATCCTTTTTTGGTTAACTCCAGCGGCTATTTAGTTCACTTCTCTGATTACACGTTATTTTAGAACTATTGCTTGGCGGTGCTTTAGTCAGACGATAATATTCCTCTACTTGCTGGATGAGGAGTCAAGTCTGTTAGTTGTAGTTCCTATTGGAATTGGTTGCCTTATTGAATTTTGGAAAGTTTCTAAAGCTTTAAAGGTAAATTTTTTCAATTTTTTTGTTAATCAGTCTCAGAAACTCAAAATTAGTCTTTTAGAATGTACCGTTTACCACTCAAATTCTTTTAGATATATATAACATTCGAAGGAGGGTTTCTTCGGATCAAGTTTGGAGAAAAGTCAACTTCGGAGGAAGAAACTGAGTCATTTGATTCTGAGGCTATGCAGTATCTTGCTTTGCTTCTAACTCCACTTTGTATTGGCGGTGCACTTTATAGGTATCTTTATTTTTTCTCCTCCACTTTTCCTTAATGTTACAGGTTCAACAAGTTTAGGTAGAACTACTGTCATGTTTAAATAAGTCACATTAAGCATTCTTACTATTTATTTCTTTTATTAGAGACATATTTTTTGTTAATTTAGCTGAATTGACATTGAGTACTCTTTTCTATTGGCACATGTATTTAAAGACTGAATGGTGCCTTAGGTATGGTTTCGACTTAAGTATGTTTTGAACCACTATATTGGAAATATATCTTTTCTAACATTTTTTCACGGTACTTTTGAGATGTTTTTCTTTTGGTGCTTTTTTGCAATTAAGCTTTAGTGAATTTTAGCCTATTTTATGTTCCACATAAGTCGTGGTATAGTTGGGTGATACAGTGTATTGCAAATGGCGTATATGCTTTTGGATTCTTGTTCATGTTGCCGCAACTTTTTGTGAACTATCGCTTAAAATCAGTGGCGCATTTACCTTGGAGGGCTTTCATGTACAAAGTCGGTTCAAATTTGATCAATATGCAGAATTTTCCTCATTCAGTTTTACAGACCTGTTTCCATATAGTGTTCTTTAGGCATGCAATACGTTTATTGACGATATTTTTGCTTTCATTATCACGATGCCTACAGCTCATCGTTTGGCCTGTTTCCGTGATGATGTTGTATTTTTGATTTACCTTTGTCAACGGTACCTTTATCCTGTCGATAAAACTCGCCCAAACGAGTATGGAGAAAGCTTTGCTGAAGAATTGGTCAAAGAACGTGTTAGTGGTGGTAAAAAACAGTTATCTCTGCAGAAAACGAAGTCTGTTAGTGAAAAGAAGCAAAATTAATGCCT